TTTAACACCTTTAATTCTAATGAAATACTGAATAGCTTGCGATTACACTCTGTTATCGTGGTAAAGCCAAGGTGTTGTATACGAACGTTGTGGTTAGCCTTAATATAAGAAGAGTGACGTTCACACCGCGTTAACTGTGTTTCGTATAGTGAGTGATAAGAAACGGAGATCACAGCATTGACTTAGTAAAGGACATTGCTCAGCGCCCATACATTGTTCGCCCTGGAACCAAGAGCATCGGAAAATTTTGTGTTGTATTGTCGATCATTACGGGATTCCTATACGATCTTATTTTATAGCGGATTAGCTGCAGAAAAGATATATTTCAAAAAAGTATCAGATTTTGAGGTTATAATACAACTACTTATATATGGTTTTTATCATTTAGTAGGATTTTTAAGAAACAGAAAAGCAACATCCTGAAACATTTAACAGTTTTTAGTACCAACAACATAAAACCACCAGCAGAGCCGCAAGTTATAAAAAAAAATCACTTTTCATTGCATATGTGTAACAAAGAGAATATAATCGCTACGTTTAAGAGGGGGGACTTCCATGGTAGAAATAAATGTATGAAAGGGCGCCAAACTACTCTACCAACATCAAGACATGAGATTATATTTTTGAAAAACAATGGTGACAACATAGGGGAATTATACTAGTAATGTAAATATCTACCCACGAATAATTTTGTTGATATAATGTTTATCAATATATTGTGTATCGTAATTTTTATGTAAAAAAAGTTCGATCTCTACACTGATTTATAGGAAATGAAAGTTTTTATCTGGAGATTGAGTAAAAATGCCGATGAGGATAAGAAATCAAATTAAGCAGACAAATTAAGCAGGCGCGAAAAACGAAAATACGGTATAATTTGAGGAATGTATGAGGCGAAAGGTCGCTTATCCATACATATCAGCGGTGGGGGGGGAGGGTCTGCGCAGTAAACGTCATAATTGCTCAAGTTGCTTGCCAATTATTATACTCAGCTAGACTGTCATTTGTCACCCATCATCATCATCATAATTACAGCCCTTCTTCACATGTCCACTGCTGAATATAGGCCTTCCTCAATGAGTATCACAAAGAAGGGTCCTAAGCCACTTGCATCATTGTCACACTCAGTTCTATAAAAAATACTACAAATCGGAGTCGGAAATATACAGCAGCAAATACCTTCGAATACTATAATACACAATAGAATGGCTGTCAACCTTATTTTGTACGACGATAGGCGTCGTCTGGAGCACACATACAAGCAATAACGTGACATTATCACTACTACAAACCCGATTCGCTGTATTAACAGACAGATTTTAATACATATCTATTTGTAAATAGCGTGCAATTTGGCATTTTATAAATAATTTGCATGGGAAATTTGGAAACGATTGTAACGTCAAAATACATCTCGTGTTGACATTTATACGTGTGAATTGACGTTTTAGTGACATTTTAGTGGCTACACGGGCTCCGCTCACTCCCCCGTTCTATTATGTATGTATTATAGTATTCTATGGCAGATATAGAAACATCAGAGCACCTATTCTATTGTTAGTGAAGGCCAATTTTTTATCGTAAAAATGAAACAAAATATCGTGCATTTAGCTTATCTATACGTATTTATCGATACAAATAAATAAAATTGAAGTGTCTGTTTGTAATGTAAAAATAACAGCTTTTAACGAAATACGTATGAAAGTAATAATATGCGATACTTGTAACAAAAAAAAACAATCATAAAAATTTTGGTTTGTGTGTTTGTTCCGGCTAATAAAGAGAGAAAATAATAAAGAGATAGATGATGTTATAAGGAGTAATTCAGGCTACTACTACTAAAAAAACTAAAACACATTAAATCCATCGTAATAACCACCACGCGGACGAAGTCACGGGGAGCAGCTAGTACGAATAAATAAAATTGATGCGTCTGTTTGTAATGTAAAAATAACAGCTTTTTTACTTAATTCATACGAAAGTATAATATACGACAATTATAAGCTTATAACAAAAAAAGAAACCATTTAAAAAAAATTTGTGTCTGTCCGTCTGTCAATCTGTTTGTTCCAGCTGAGTCCGAAATAGCTGGTCAGATTTTGACGGGACTTTCACTGGTTACCTGTTGTTATGAGGAGTAACTTACTTTTATTTTAGAAAAAAATGAATTAGGTTTCCTCGCAGTAGGTTATTTTCAGGTTTTAAAAATTAAAACCTGAAAATAGCCTAAAAATGAGGCAATGCTATCTAATCTATGCAATTAAATCTATGAAGCATATTTTACAGCAATGCACTTTTATAGGTTGTAATTATGTTGATTATGAGGATGATTATGGTGATATTGTTGACAAATAGATAAGTTGGTGAGTACAAAGATGATATCTTCGCAGCACTGGTAACGCATTTCAATAAGTGGCGATATGATGCTCCTCATCACAATTTCTTGAAATCCAAATCGTTCAGAAAATAAATATACTATTATAACGTCAATCATTTCACATATTAAAATAAGGCAATCGACAACCCTATTGATCTCTCTTGAGGCTAAATGCGCGAGTTGAACTCAGTTCGCGGTTGAGTGATCGTTCGATAACATACCACAGAAGTTTTCTTCTCAATAGAGTACGCGGAACAATTATGTACGAGCATAATTGAGTGCATTATTGCATTAAAATTAAATTAGGTCATTAAGTATGAGATCTTTATCTGAGAATAATTGAGTTAACAGCCAAAAGCGCAGCCAAGTGCCTAAAATAAAATGCGTAAAAGAACATAGAATCTTTTGAAACTTTGCAGTTTTTCCCCCCGATTATATTATTTGAGTTACTAAGTTTGACACTACCATGATGATAAATTGACTTTGGAAAATTTTGCACAAGCAGTCATAAAATAAATAAACGAGGGAGAATAGTTTGCTGAATTGTTGAATTGTACCATTTTATTGATAAAACTTTCACCACCATTGACGAAAGAAAAATTGTTTATTTTTTTAGAATTAGATTAAAGGTTTGAAAATTGTTTATTTTTTAGAATTAGATTGAAAAGTGTAAGGTCATAATGATATTATACTTAATATCATTATGACCTTCCACTTTTTAACTAAGATAACTTCTCAACTCTATGATAACGAAATAAAAAAAACGAAACGATAAGCGAAACTTTACAAATTTCGGTTTTTAATAAACTTTCTGTGTCATTAGAAAAATCTTTATTTAATTGAATCAAGTGTTACTTCGCGAAAATCCATTATGTTAAGGATGCTAAAATCAATTGGGCTTAGATCCGCGTGAAAAATAAATATGTTATGTCTTACCTAGTTTAAGTAATATCTTCCCCCCTTCCTATATTGCTTGCGATAGCATCGCCATCACTAATCTCAACACCACTACGATCATTTTATGTAAGGTGTGTATCTTTCCTACTGTAATGTTGCTGGGTTTACTAGTAACGGTAATAGTGCATGCAATTGAAGCAGCGAGGAAGGTGCTCTTCAGACTACAGAAGAAACATTATTTTTATTTATCATATCCTAATGATCTTAACATATTTGAGGTAAATATTTGTCATCTTATTTGCATTATTTTTGTTATTGGCGGCTGATGGAGTTACGTTTAGTTAGTTTACTTGGCAGAGCCATGCTGTAGCTATATAGTTTTAGCTACTCTCTCACGGAATACCAGCGTAAACTAGCAGATCAATGCTGCTGTGTTTCATATGGTGAGTGTAGAGAATCGGAGAACCTTTTTAATGGAAACAAGGCATTCCATCTTGGTGCTTAGGGGTGGTAACGTATCTGCATTTGTTATCTTAATCGGGGATGTTTATAGTAGATAATCAAGCTAAAATACGGCTAAGATGAGCCCAAGTAGTGGAAGGAGTTTCTGTGCTGTGGCGGCGTAAGAATATCCCCCCCCATTTTCGTCCCGTCGGTATCGAAGAGGAGGTTATATGAAATATCAGAAAAATCTCATTTTTACAAATGGCGTTATAATCATCTCCGTCATATATTCAAGTAAGTTTCTAAAAGAACTATATCTGTGAATGTTCTTTGTAGTTGGATACAAGAAAGCTGTTTCTTTTCACGCTCAAAGGCTAAGTACCTATAGACATACAGATGAAACGCAGCAAGCGATACATCATCCAACACGTTCCTTTACAGCCTTTAAAACTGCTGAACATTGGCTCCCCCTATAGATTGCCTGATAGAGGGGATTTTGCTATAGTTGTGACTCTTGACGAGTTGACTACCCAATCGCATTTTTATTACTTTGAGATATTATCAGGAAGATGATGCTGACCATCTCCTGATTATATTTCCCTCTGTCGCCTCTATCGAAACCCACGAGACGATGTGGGGTAATGGATATTCTTATACGCCACTACACGGTACCATACCGGTATTTATGTATTTTGTAATAAATGTTACATGTTACGTATTATCAGATTAAACCAGTATACAAGATCGACCAAGTTAGATGTGACATTTGAAAGTTATGCTTGCCTACCGCCAACTATTTTGCAAACGTCCAACGTATTAATAACCGTCTCAACACGAGAATAAATGATATCCATCTTCGTAATTTATTTTTGTATGGTTAATTTCCACGTTTTAGTTTCCATAGCTTCCTGAGTTTTATTTTTCTCTTGATCCGCAGTTTTTCATTATTTTTCAGCTCCATCACCTGTTTCAGTATCTCTCTGTCGCCTCTTAAGAAACCGATATGAGATGATATGTGGTAGTTGTATTCTCTTTCGCAGCCACTACAGGGCAAGTCTCGCAGCTTGTAATTATATAATCGTCATCATCATCAACAATACATCCATTCTCAAGTCCACTGCTGAACATAGACTTTCCCGAGGAATGAATAATTTTTTTTTAAAAAATAACACAATAGAATAAAAAATTTATTACGCATTTTTTACCTTTAACTGTACGATTTATAATCTTATGCGACATATAATGGTCGAAAAATCGACCATTATATGTCGCATTTTTGGACATGGAAAAGGCGTTTGATCGTGTCCCAAGGGATACGATCTGGTGGAGCCTTCGTAAGAAAAATGTCCCCGAACACTACGTTAACATCATTGCCGACATGTACAGAGATGCGAGGTCAATGGTTCGGACGGTGGTGGGTGAGACCAAGTCGATAGCGGTCACAGGAGTGCACCAAGGTTCTGTATTGAGCCCTTTTCTGTTTTGTTTGGTTCTGGACTCACTCACTGAAGCGGCACAGAATTCAACAACGTGGACATTTATATACGCTGACGACGTAGCCATCTGCACAGAAAGCCGCGCTCACTTGCAAGAGGCACTCGTGTCGTGGAAACATCAGTTACAGACCGGTGGCCTTGTGCTGAGTGTGGCAAAGACTCAGTTCATGTCCTTCAACGACCCAGATACAAACAACAGTCCGATTTCCATCGATGGACAATTGGTCAAATCGTGTGATCAATACAAGTATCTGGGTAGTATGATGAGCTGATCTGGGGACTTGGAAATTAACATTCAGCACCGAATAGCCGCAGCGTGGCTAAAGTGGCGAGTAGTGACTGGTGTCATGTGCGATAGGAGAATGCCGGTCAAACTTAAAGGTTTAATCTATAAGACCATCATCAGACCAGTCCTATTGTATGGCAGTGAAACATGGACCGTAACTCAAAAGAATGTGCATACCATGCAAGTTGCCGAGATGAAGATGGTGAGGTGGATGTGCGGCGTTACCAAGCTCGACAAAATCCGCAACAAGTACGTGCGAGGAAGCTTGGGCGTGCGCGACATCGCTGACAAGAGGCAGGAAATTAGGCTGCGATGGTATAGGCACGTGAAGAGGAGGCCACCCGACTACGTAGGGAACTTGGCACTACAACTTTCCATCCCAGGTCGAAGATCCAGGGGCAGACCCAAAACACGATGAAAAGATGTAGTGGTAAAGGACATGAGAGAGTGCGAAGTCTCCGAAAATGAAGTCGAGGATAGAGCGAAGTGGAGGCGTAAGACAAGAAAGGCTGACCCCACCACCATGTGGGACACATAGCCAGGAAGAGAGAGAGAGAGTACGATTTATAATCTTATAATCATTTGAGATAATTATGTGGTCGTTTTATTGTTTGTATGTATTCAAAATATAAAATCATCATCATCATCATCATTACAGCACTTCAAATATCCACTGCTGAATATAGGAATGCCACAAAACACAGTCCTGAGCCACCTGCATCCATCAGTTTCCTGCATGTTTTACCAGATCGTCACTCCATCTAGTGGGGATCGCCCTACACTAAGCCTACCGGTACAAAGCTGCCACTCGCGAATCTTTCTTCCCCACCATCGGTTGTCGGTTCTTCGAACTATATGGCCGGCCCATTGCCACTTCAGCTTAATAATCGGATGAGCTATGTCGGTCACTCTAATTCTACTGTGGATATCCTCATTTCTAAGTTTATCACGCGGGGAAACTCCGAACTTAGCTCTCTCCGCAATCTAGTTTGCAGGTTTTCAGGTGTACCAGGCGAGAATTTTCTCGTCAGGTAAATATAAAAAAAAATATAAAAACACCTAATGTCTTAAACTATGTCGGAAAGAACGGTCTGTAGTCTCATACACAGCCTCAGCAACACAACCAGCGCTTATTTTTAATGCATCCATGATTAATCTTAAGGTAACTGTGCCCAAATGTATTTTATAGCTTAGTCGCTTGATAATTCCTAATTACATAAAAGTCACAGCCCATATATACATCCCACTCCTGGTCACAGGCCTCCGCTCATTTCTGAGAGGGTTTTAGGGCAAGAAATTGTCCACCGCGCTGCAATGCGTGTTGGCGAACTTCACATGTCTTCAAAATATTATTTTTCTTATTTCTCAGACATGCAGGTTTCCTCACGATGTTTTCCTTCACCGCCGAGCACGTGGTAAGTCAGCACTTATAATTGCAATTAACAATTTCATTAGTACCGGCGGGAATCGAACCCGGTTCGCTCGCGTACTGTGAAATTTATAGCGAGCGCTAACCATCTGAGCTACCACGGCTCTTACCCTAACTAAATAATCATGTTGAAAATAAGAATAAATTATGTTGCATACTAATACGACGTTTCCCGAAAGTCAACGTAAAACCGGCACGGGACAAGAAGAGAGAAAACGTACCAGCCCCGGGAAAAAATATCCGTATCAGTTAGTTCAGTTATAACTGAGAAATTAATGAAAATGAGGAAAATCGACACCTTAAATCATACCATTAGGTGTTCGGACCAAAAATTTCTCAATTTTACAATGATTTTTTCACTAACGTGGTCTTAAAAACTTGCTATTAATCGCAGTCACAAATCAAACAAAAAAAGGTTGCTAGGTTAGTTAAAATTTAAGTAATTTATTTTAGCCGTAGTTGAAGAAATAAGACCACCTAATTTTGGCTCAACTTCATTAAGAAAACATACTGTTACCCTAGGCAAGTTACTTCAAAAGGTGGCCCACATATCCTAGATTTTAAAATGATATAATACGTGTTACTTTTCATCCTTAAAAAGTAAAATTATTTCATTTTCTGAAATAAGACCTAATATCAAAACAGTTCCACATCCACACCACAATACATTTTCATCTATTAAGACAGAAATGTTTTTGAATGAAGCAGATAATGACGTCATTTCATGTGAGTTAGAGCGAGATAGGTAGATATTCTATTTGATAAACCTATTTGTTGAAGATGGTGTATTTCCTGAAGTTCTTAAAAAGTCCATTATTAAACCATTATTTAAAAAAGGTGACAGGGAGGACTTATTCTGTTACCGTCCGATTGCTATGACTTCTAAATTTACAAAAATTATAAAAAAACAATTTATAAGAATTTATATAATTACTTTGAAAAATTCAATATTTTTGCAAAAGAACAAAAAGGCTTTAAGGCCTAGTATGACCCTCCCTATCGCCCCGTACCCGTTTTATATTAAGTTTGTTGTTTAAACCAAAATAAAGACATGGTAAGATTAGAAAAAACAATTAAATAAAAACGAAAAGTATAGTTTAAAAATGATCTCCAAATATGATTGATACTTAATGATTTCTTAAATTTACGCGAACACTACACATTGAATAAAACTAAATTTACGGATTCTATCGCGTTTATTTAACTGATTTTACTTATTTTTAATTCCCGACGTTTCGGGTGCTTTACAGCAACCATGGTCACGGGGGGGGGGGGACTGAGATGTTTGACCCAATGTCATTGTTAGCCCGGCTACCTTCAGTTTTTGAATATTAATTTTTGGTCCGATTTACGCAAAACGAACTTACAGTACCTTGAAGTCTTGCAGTGGTATGTATGCTTGGATTTAGGTTTAATTTTGTTAATTATAGGATCCCAAGTAGATGGTAGCACCCAACCATCTTCTCTATTGAAATCAGGATGTTTTTTAATTTCAATAGCCTCGCGTATCATCCTTGGTAGGAATCGGTGTTCTTTTGCGAGAATTTGTGGTTTATCAACACGAATGTAATGGGGGGGACGATCTTGAACATGTTCGCAGACTGCAGACTTCCCGGAGCGTCGGTGCTTCACGTCAGCTATATGTTCTTTCACGCGGGTTTTTATGGATCTTTTTGTTTGACCTATGTAAGAGAGACCACATTCACAATCTAACTTGTACACTCCTGCATCTTGTAGAGGGATATTACACTTGACGGATGGTAAAAATTGACTAATTTTTACCCCACCATTATCCAAATAGTTTTATTTAATGATTGATACTCTTAAAAAAGTTGCAAAATATACAATTACAATTCTGGGTGTGCGAAAAAAGTTTTACGGAAGAAAGAATAAGACAAAAAATATAGAATACTAAGTACTCTTACACAACTTTATTTTGAGTGCCTCGTTTATCTAGTTGTCGTAAGGATTATTGATAATTTGGTCCCGAGTTCGAATCACGAGCAGGGCCAGCAAACACCTACTGTGTTCTCCTGTAAAAAAATTAATGATCTGATGATCTTTTTAGTGCATTACTTTTAAACTGTCTTTTTTGCAGTCGGGCTTTTGATTTTTTTAATTATTTGTTTTATTTAAGACTTTTTAGTGTGCCTGTAATTTGTGTAAAGATTTTTGACGATTTTTCAATAACTATGTGACTTAGAAAGGTCGATGTATATTTTCTGAAATAAACGGTATTTATTTATTACATTTTTCTTCAATATTTCAAAGTAGTTCAAAATTTATTAAAAGGAATTTAATTGGGCGACGGATATTAATAACTATTCTTTTTTTCATATAATAGCACGAGGTCCGACACAAACATTGCACATTTTTTAAACCAGTTATTAAAAACTTTATAAACCAATTTATAATTCCTAATATTTTATTATCAGTATCCATTACTGCCTATTTCAAAATATATTACAAAAATTATAATAATGAACATAACTAAAACAATAATTAAAATTATAATATTTACGATTAAAACTAATTATATACAATATAAAAGAAAAAATTATAATATAGAAAATCTAAAACTAAAAATTTTAATAGTCAAAAAGACCCGCTCCCCGTGGTATAGTGCCAAGAACGCTGGCTGCGTTTCCTCGCTGAATAGCTATACTAAGCCTTTGAGCGAGGAAAGAACCAGCCCTCTTATCACCAGCAGCGACGACTAGTCGTGGATACAGTTCCTTTAGAAATTTCACTGCACGCGGACCCCACGGACCGATAGTCTCTACAAAGCAAAAGCAAATGGCACAAATATGTAGTCATTTCTCAAAGATTCATATTTGCGCCATTTACATTAAATTCGGCTGCCTCTGATGCCGCCCCGGCTCTAAAAGAGGTACCCTTGAGATGAGAGGCCTCCAAAGTGTCAACGCAAGTAGCATCACACACTAAGGCTTTACCTCTCTCTCAAGGGACCAAAGTCATATCGTCGGGTCTCCTGCCATCGTCTCTAAATATCCCGCAAGACTCTAAAACCGAGGGGACATTTATGGAGACAAGAGCCCTTCGGATGATTTCGTTCAAAGAACCGTGACGGGAAAACCTACCTGCACTTTTCTTGCATGAAAGTCCGTGGAGCCCAAACTCATCGACGCTGCTACCACAGGGGCACTGGTGAGGTTGACAAATTGCCACTAATAAAATAAATTCCTACGGCGATGTGCAAGCTTTCCCCATCAAGCAATGTGCCGAGATTACTTGATGGTAGAGCATGTAACCAGTGGCTAGATTCCTTAGTCGAAACAGCTAGAAGGCGAGCCTGATCTTGTTGACTGTAGAAATTTTGAAATAAATTTTTCTGGACACTCCGTACTAACGGAATATACCACTGTTTTTGTTGGTTAACTTCCAGTGGGACATTTTCGCCGGGACAGAGCGTTAGCCACGTTTGCCTTGCCTCCGCAGCAAAGCACAGGTCTACTTTATTATTTAAAATTGTGTTACATAGATCATTGACACTATGCGCGGAAGCAAGGAAAGCAATGCGACGCTAGAAATATTTC